TTATAATCCTTCTACTTTAAGCCATTTTACCTCTGGTAAGCAAGTGCATTATATATTAATAAACGTGATAGCTAAATAAAAAAAAAACTATTAAGAAAATATTTTCTCTAACTTATCAAACTCTAATAATTGATTATACACTATGTATGTTATAATATAATAGAATTATTATACCCCTGTGTCATGTATGGCATTACTATCCCTTAATTGTGTAGCCTACTTGGAGTTTGGTATTGAGAATGTTAAAAACAGCTTTCTTTGCTAAATACAACCCTTTCCTACAATGTAGTGGTATCTGCATTGGTCATAATTTAGCCATGCTCATTTTAGCAGTGTCCTCGTCAACCTATTGTTCCTGTCAAAATCTGTAATCATTTGTCTCATTTGTTCTTAAATTCACCCTTTTACGTTATTGCATAGCGCTGCAGAATTATTTTGTCAATTATTAGGCTAATAATAATAATTCTGAGCACTTTACCTGGCCATAGGGAGTCTTCCAGCTTGATAGCTTGTGGCATAGCTATGCCACAGACATTCCCCTTGTCCATCTAGGGCAAGACACTTGAGATAACAGCCTAGCAATTAGTATAAAGTCATAACCTCACAAGCCAATAGCAAAGTATGTGTTCAAGCAATATTAACTCTTGATAAAATGTAAAAATTCTATCAGATGAATCAGAAGATCCTTGGTTCTTCCATTTCTGGAGACTCCAGAGACTTCTCCATCAACATGATCTTATAAGTACACATGCTCCCGCAAAACATTTCTATACATGAAAACTTAATCATTCTGCCTATGGATTTGGGCAACAGGATGATACACTTACATCTTGACCCTGTGTATCAAGGATAATGCAATTTGCAACCCTGGCATGCCCCTCGTGGGCCTTATCCTCATTGTTCTACTATGGTCTTAGTTTCCTGTTTTATAATGTTGGCAAGTACGCAATAAGTATGCAATAGGAGATTAAAAGAGCCTAAAAGGGTAGCAAACGTTATTGGAAAAAGTTTAATGAGTTCCACATATATGCTCAATGGCGAAATAAGACAATGTAGTAATATGTCCTCATTAACCAGTCACCAGGTTTGATGAATTGACACTTGGTGTCTTTGTTTATATGCCATTACCCAGAATGCTTTATTCAGATAGTCTATAATGTGACATCTGAGTAATGTTCCTTACAATATTCATGTACTTTGCTTTATGTCTGCTGTGCTTTGAACTGTGAAGTGGTTTTGTCATTTTTTCCATCCGCCATAACTCTGATGTTTATGATTTAAACAACACCAACATCAAAGCACAAAGGTATTAATTAGGCTCAAATTAATGAGACTAAAAGGACAAAACACCTGTCTTTGCTGATTCTGAAATGCTTACATGCTGTGTTATGCAGCAGGTCAAAGCTCGAGAAAAACATCAATACTGACAAAGGATAAGGATCTAATGTGTCATGCATAGTGTGTTTACTAGGATGGAACTGTCGCAAGTCTAAATTTGGCCATTCACCCACTGTCGAAACTGAGGTGACACAGGAAACCATAAGACTGGGACCAACCTCTAGGCAAGTGCTCCACACACCAATTATCAAAGTCCACAAAATAAGCCATGCTCCTACATTCCAGGAACGTATCCACCCACAGATCCAGCTCTACAAAATGACGACTCGTGATCTATAGTATGAACGCTCATTATTAGTGAGTAACTCATCTTTTTTATCGTCAATGCCTTTTCCACATCAGAATTCCTTTGGCTTTTAATTGCTATAAAAACTTCTAGAAGAAAAAGTGTTCAACCCTCCCCTTTCACATCATCATCCATTCCATTGCTGGTGGGAAAATATCCACCAAGCCTCATGTCATTCCAGAATACCAAAAAAAATATCCACTTCTTTCTCAATAGTGTGAACATATTATGCAACTCTAAACCAGCTTTCCTAGGTCCCAGAAACACCTGGGGCTCGAGCCCAAAAGAAAACATTATGACTCCTACTTTAACAGAGAGGTGGAGATAAGTCCAATCTATCCCAATCTTTCTCTCTTATGTATCCACCTGTCTACCCAAGAGCAGCATACTGCTGATGCACTCTGGGATTTCAAAGAAAGCCTAGATGTCACAAGCACATTCGGCACAGCTAGCTATTCAATACAACCCTGCAACAGTAGCTAACTAAGAGAGAAGTGCACAGCACGGTACTTTTTTTCCCACCACCCCTCTTCTTATGTAACCTGCTGGAGCTTTATACTACCGGCCTTTCTTTTTGTAATAGGCGGCAGCTTTGAGAAACGCCTGTCTGATATAAAAACCTAATTAAAAGAAACACACAAATATTCTCCACCTACCGTAGAGATCACAGGCTAAATTGCCTTCAGCTCCCTCCCCCACCAACAAACAGTCATCAAAGGAAATCACCACTTAGTTACTTTATGTCATTTCTCTTAATTCTTTAATATCACAAAGGTATCCTTGGTATGTTACAACTCTCTCGACACTTACATTGCAAACTTGAAATGGTTAACAGTGGAATAATATCCACTAGAAGTACAATACAAAATATATCAAGTCAAAATCTATTTTATATTTGAAATTAATACTATTTAAATATTCACAAAGGAAAAAAATGAATTATGAGATGATACATAACATACCATCTGTGCTCAGATAACTCCCCTACGTACTGAGACAACATTATATTATGTATAAAAATATAAAATGTGTGACATCCCTAGCAATGAATTATTTTATTATTCAAGGTTAAAGTTTTGTAATTTCTATTAAAGAGTGTTTTAAAATACGCCTCCGCACTAAATACAGCAGGCCATTTAAAGTTTAGGCAATGTATCTTTAAATGGTGCTCTAATCAGTAGAAGATGCTAAGGCTGAAATTGAATTACACAAGCCATCAGTGGCTAGTTATCAGACACACTATTGATTGTCATTGCCCTCCTTCACAATGTACATTCTTACCTGACTTGAAAGGCTTCTCAAAACCACTCAACTAATAGATAAATGCTTCTTCCATGCCATAAATGGCCATTTCCAGGCTATTTAAAATGGCATGTCTTGTTTTATCTTGATCTGCTGCTGGTATGAAAACTTAGCGCTAGGAGCAGGCATATTTCTTTGTGTGACAATGATGGAGTAAGGGAATTAAAATCTTGCTTTTTTTTACCAGAATGCATATATCTTATGACAAGCAATAATGCATTTAGGTTTTATCATGCCTTAGGCCTGGCCAAGAGCATACCTCCTCTTCCTCCTCCTCCTCGATTGCCCTCACATTATCAGTGTATAACTGGATATTGCACTAGGTATTGATTGAGGGGAAATGCTGCTCTGGAGACTAAACACAGGCTAAACATTCATGCAACTGCACTACATGCTGCAACCTCTCAGGTGCATCCTTAATGATTCCTGATCTGCATTTCACATTGCACCCTCTCAAGCAGACATGCATTTGTACTGTATTCTGCAACCTCTCGGGCATGCTGTACCCTGTGAGGCAGACATATACTCAGACTGCATTATGCATTCTCTTAAACATGCAGCATCCTGTGCAGTGGCATACTAAGGGGTGGGCAGAGGGGGCGATCCGCCCCGGGTGCCAATCACTAGTGGGGTGCCCGGGGAGCATTTTCATTCCACTTGCAGGAGTCTGTTCTTGCTATTCGCGAGAGCATTGCTGAATGTTGCTATGGCAAAGCGCAACAACACTCTCGCGAATAGCGAGAACACAGGGCATGCTGCAGCTGGATGTGGAGACTCCTGGGCCCCTCTTCACTTATACCTGTGTGTCTCTGTACCTGTATGTGTGTCTGTATGAGTGTCTGTGTATCTGTGTTTGTATCTATGTGTCAGTGTGTGTCTGTAAGTGTGTGTGTTTGTATCGATATGTGTGTATGTATCTGTGTGTCTATCTGTATGTGTGTCAGTGTTTGTCTGTATCTGTGCATGACTGTGTTTCTATGTATCTGCATGTGTATACCTATGTGTATGTGTATCTGTATGTGCCAGTGTGTAACTGTGTGTCTATGTATCTGCATAAAAACACACAACATAGTCAAAAAACACACTACACAAAAATGCACTCCTGCATTCAAATGCCAAAACTACATGCAAACACACCCCTACATTCACTCACACATACTTCATACAAAAACATGCTTACATTCAAACACACAAACGCTGCTCAGTGCTAAATACATTAAAAAAAAATGCAAACACTGCTCAATGCTAAATATATTTATTTTTAAAATGAATGCATTTGTTTTACATTTTAAAATTGGGTAGTGGGGGGGGGTTGGGTGTGTGACAAATATAAGAAGATCTTCCCCGGGTGCCAAAACCACTTCAGCAGCTTACCTTATTCCAGCGCCGGGCTCCCTCGTCACTGGTTACCTCTCCTCCCTCGCCAACGTCAGCTCCACCGTCGGACGTCAGCGGAGCCGAATGCACATGCGCGGCAAGTGCCGTGCGTGCATTCAAAGTGTCCATAGGAAAGCATTTCTCAATGCTTTCCTTTGGACGCTTTGTGCGGTGGAGGCATAATATGCCTCCAGTGCCGCAGTTGCGCCTCTAGTGGCTGTCCGAAAGACAGCCACTAGAGGCTGGCTTAACCCCAAATGTAAACATAGCAGTTTATCTGAAACTGCTATGTTTGCATCTGAAGGGTTAAAACCTGAGGGACCTGGCACCCAGACCACTTCATTGAGCTGAAGTGGTCTGGGTGACTATAGTGTCCCTTTAAGGATATACAACCATTTTCCATGTTGCATCCTCTCAGACAGACAGATATAAACCCACTCTGTATCATGTGTGAGATGATGCAGCATGTATTCTCTCAGATGCATCTATTCTGCATGCAATTGTCTTAATAAGACATGTAACCTCCCTACACATTGCATCCTGTCAGGCATGCTGCATCATTTCAGACAGACACCCACTTTGCTTGCTGCACCCTCACCAAAAGATATGCAACTTTTAACATAATGTATCCTCTCAGACAGACACCCACTCTGCATGCTGTAGCCTCTCAGACAGACACCCACTCTGCATGCTGTATCCTCTCAGACAGACACCTAATCTGCATGCTGCATCCTCTCAAACACCCATCCACTCTAAATGCTGCATCCTCTCAGGCACCCACTCTGCATGCTGCATCTTCTCAGACAGGCATCTTCTCAGACAGCACCATTCGGCATGGTGCATCCTTTCAAACAGACACCTACACCCTATGTCGCATCCTCTCAGACAGATGCCCACTCTGCATGCTGCCTCCTCTCAGACACCCACTCTGCATTCTGCATCCTCTCAGACACACACATACTCTGCTTGCGGCATCCTCTCAGACACACACCCACTCTGCTTGCGGCATTCTCTCAGACACACACCCACTCTGCTTGCGGCATCCTTTCAGACACACACCCACTCTGCTTGCGGCATCCTCTCAGACAGACACCTACTCCGCATGCTGCATCCTCTCAGACAGACACCCACTCTGCTTGCAGCATCCTCTTAGACACACACCCACTCTGCTTGCGGCATCCTTTCAGACACACACCCACTCTGCTTGCGGCATCCTCTCAGACAGACACCTACTCCGCATGCTGCATCCTCTCAGACAGACACCCACTCTGCATGCTGCATCCTCTCAGAAAGGCATATAGGGCCACTGTATGTTTCAACCTCTCAGAAAGTCATATAGTGCCACTGCATGCTGCAACCTCTCGTGCATACAACCTACTCTAAGATAGACATGCACTGGAATTGCATGTTGTAAACTCTCAGGCACTCAAATGCCACATACATTCTATACTGGCAACAAGGGGGTCAAGTAGGACCCCAAACTGAAATAAAAAAAAATACCAAAAAACAAACAAAAACACAAAACGTGTCTTAGCATATAAATAAACAGCGGTAGAGGGCACTCCAGACACCTACAGAAATATTCTGACATTAAATGTCCCCTTACATTTGTGTCATAGTTCATTGACTTTGGAGAGTCATGAGAGAACTAAAGCAATTTATCACTTTACAACTCTAAAGTCAATAGGGATGAAATGGCTTAGAAATGTTCCCATTAATGCAAATCCAATAAATCTATGATTAGAATTATATATTTACATAATGAAAATCCAATAAATCTATGATTACAATAATGTATTAACATAATAGAGATATAGTAAATCTATGATTTGTATACAGTTTTGCTTGGTTTTTTTTCTTCTCTTCTTATAGCATTTTATTGACATTTTAAAGGAACTAAGATTAAAGTAAATCAAGTTGTGCATCAGCAATGTTTACTTTTATTACACAAGGACAAACGCTTGCAGCAGTGTATATCGAGCTCCACATTCTATAATATCGTACTAGCCATTTAAAGAGGAACTGTCACTGCCATAGAAGCTGGCAAAGCATCATGGGAGATGGTTGCTTACCCCTGACATAGGTATAGATAGATGGTATGGCCTCACGTTTATTACGATGCTAGATGTACGATCCACTATGAACATTGTCTCAGGCAAGCTGTTTTTAGATATGCCCCCAATGAAAAATTTGGGTGGTGAAGTGTCCCTTTAACACCACAATATGACAATTAAAATAAGAGGCAGATAATGCAGATTGTAAAATTGAGGGCATTCCTAAACAGTAATTTATTGAACTTTGATTTCATAATGTATCAGTATGTATAATGACATAGTATTATCCACAGTCTTTGTATAATAACTGTTATATATATTAAAAAAGATATATAAAAATAAATATATATATATATATATATATATGCATAAACACTCATCAGCAACAACATTAAACCCACTGACAGGTGAAGTGAATAACATGTATTATATCATTATATAAGGGTAGGGATATTATAGGCAGCAAGTGAACAGTCAGTTCTTGAATTTCATGTGTTGAATTTCATACAGTCAAGCAAAAAGATTTGTGTGACTTTGATAAGGGCCATATAGTGATGGCTAGGTGACTGGGTCATTGCATTTCCAAATCGGCAAGTCTTGTGGGGTATTACCAGTATGCAGTGGTTAGTACCAACCAAAAGAGGTGCAAGGAAGGACAACTGGTGAAACAGCGTCAGTGTCATGGCGCCCAAGGCTCAATAATGAATGTGAACTTAGCTGTCTGGTCCAATCACATAGAAGAACTACTGTAGCTCAAATTGCTTAAAACCTTAATGCTGGCCATGATATAAAGGTGTCAGAACACACAGTGCATCACACTGCCATGTTTGGGACAGTGATATAAAGGTGTCAGAACACATTTGCCGTGTTTGTGACAGTGTAGCTGCAGAGCGGTCAAAGTTGCCATGATGACTACTGTCCTCCACCAAAAGTGTCTTTAATGCAGACATGATCATCGTAACTGGACTATGGAGCAGTGGAAGAAGGTTTCCTGGTATGATAATGATGATGATGATTTCCTGGTTTCTTTTAGATTGGGTGGATAGTCGGATGTGTGCGTGTCATTTACTTGGGGAATAAAATGGCAGTAAGAGGCACTATGGGAAGAAGACAGGTCGGTGGATGCAAAGTTATGCTCGGGACAATGTTCTGCTGGGAAACCTTGAGTCCTGGCATTGATGTGGATGTTATTTTGACACGTGCCATCTACCTATAAATTGTTGAGACCATGCACACCCCTTAATAGCAATGGTTTTTACTGATGGCAGTGGCCTCTTTCGGCAGGATAATGCACCCTGCTGCACAGCAAAAAATGTTTAGGAATGGTTTTAAAAACATGACAAAGAGTTCATGGTATTGCCTTGGCCTCCAATTCCCCATCTCTCAGTCTGATTGATCATCTATGAGATGTACTGAAGCAGCAATATCTGATCCATGGAGTCCCCAACTCACTGCTTGCAGGGCTTAAAGGATCTGCTGCTAATGTCTTGGTGCCAGATAACACCAGACACAAGGTCTTATGGAGTCCATGCCTTGATGCACCAGATTTTTTTACGGAAGCACAAGAGGGACCTACACAATGTTAGGCAGCTAATTTTAATATTGTGGCTGATCAGTATATATATCCCAACATTGTGCATGCTTAAGCAATGTATGATCATATGCTGTAACTAAAGTTCCATTATTTTTTGCCTATGTGAGGTGTTTTTAAATAAAACTATTACATTTGGTGAGACTTGAAACTGCTGTCTAGTGAATGAGCAATCGCTATGGATTTTGTATGTTATATAAAAATACATATATAAATTTATAGAGTGATTTAATTTTACAGAATTGGCTAAAGGTATCGATTTCTTCAGGGGAATATTGTGACAGTGACTTCAAGACAGAAAACATCCCTTTAAATAAATGAAGAGACATTGGTATCTACATCTGGGAGAAAAGTAAGGATGTTTAAACAGACCTTGGATCGTGTGCCAATGCTTAAGTAACACAGACAAGAGTCTGATTGATAGCTACTAGCAAAACATTACTCAAAACGTGCTAATCAAGTTTAACTCAGGCTGGATAGAATAACTGTCACAAATTGAATCTACCATTTAAAAAATGGATCCTTGTCCTTGTGCATCTGCAAGCAACCAATAATATAAGAATCCATAGAGAGGGAGAAAGAATATGAGCTGCACGTCTACGGGTAGAAAATGGGGGTTATTTATCATTAGCTTCCACTGTCATCATTAAAAATGTCTTTCCTTGCAGATTTGTTGAGCAATTTGTTAAAAAAAAAAACCAACAAAGCCCTTTTACACTTAAGTATTTTGGCAGCTGGAGTGGTCAGTTACTATACTGCGGAACTGCTGACCACTCAGTACACCAATGTGTTAACTAACAGGCCCTACTGTGAATTTACACTTATTCTTATTATGCATTGGATCGTATTATGGTCAGTTTGAACACAATTTGAGATTTATCTTTACAGATGTTATGCTCTATCCATTCCTTCATTCGTTCTTTGTAATTTAGAGGGAAAAGGAGCAAGTCGGACACTATAGGAACACTACAGTCACCAGAACCACTACAGCTTAATGTAGTGGTTATGATGTCTATAGCCTGTCCCTGCATGCTTTCCAATGTTAACACTGTGTTTTCATGGAAAAGGCAATGTTTACATTACTGGCTTGTTATACCTCAAGTGGCAGTCACTCAGAAAGCCATTAGAGGTGCTTCCTACCTACGCTCAGTGTGTCCACACTCTGCATGATTCAATTAATCTCTAAGAGGAGATGCTGATTGGTGCAGTGACACGTTTTGCAGCGCATGCATAATAACCTCCCAATGCTTCCTTGTGATAAAACATTGGATTGGCTGATATCATCAAGATTGATGATCTCAGCCATGGAGGCATGGCAGGAGCGGTGAGGGAGAAAAGATGAGTGAAATACCATATTTACTGCAATCTAAGGAGGTCCGGGGACCTACAGCCAATCCAGGACTCTAGTGTTAGGAATACATTTTTGTATTCCTAACATTATAGTGTTCCTTTAATTTTGAGTGGGGGTGTGTTCAGGGGTGAGCCTGCTGTAAGAAATTGCAGGTGACTTATTGATAAGATTTTATTCAACTAAAATTTATTTTAAAACAAGAATAATCTATATTATGCACAGACTGATTTCTAAACATGTTTATTCTAGTTTACAGACACAGTGAGTATTATTGCTGTGGAGCTCTCTTATGCACTCAGACACACCAACAATATGTAATGTCTAGAAAAGAGGAACAATGCAATTTGGGCCCAAAACAGGGATTGTCATCATAACTAAGCAATAACAGTTACTAGGACCTGTGATAAGGACTTGTAACCCGTTTAATTATGTTACAGGTTACAGTGAATTTCCAGGGCTCACACATTACAAAACTCCCAATTAAAATTGAATATACATTACAATTGGCCCGAGTATGAATGGATTTACATAGGGGCTATTGGTGCCAAAGCTCTAGGCCCACATGATGCAGTAGGCACAATCTATGTTTTGGGATTTTGTTTGTTTGTCATTTGGTGCTGCTCTCAATTGCTGGGTACTATCTTCACAGTATATGAACAGGAAGGTATCAACTATTTCAATCATTGTATGTTATACATTGACATGCATTGTCATATCAGCACTAAGGTTGCAGTGTTCTAACATGAGAAACATATAAATTCACAGCACTTAAAAATGGAATGCACTAATGACCAATCCAATGCTCCCATGAGGAGCATTGGATTGGTCATTAGTGAGAAAGCCAAATGGCATTGTGGGAGGAGGTATGGGGAGCACCATGCAATGTGAAATATAAATAGTACACCCTAGCACACCCTAACGCAATGCCATTTGCATGTCTATGATCTGGAAATTAGATCCTACTCTAATATATCTCAATACCATTTTCCTTCTAGCTAGAATATCAATAGTGGTGGAAGGAGGTACAGGTATGATTGTGAATAGTTGCACTGCACATATTGCTTCCCCCGTTTCCTATAATATCTAGATTAATGCAGGAGAGATGTACCTTAAATCCTCCCAATTTATTACTTATTTACAAGCAGTAGAGGTGCGAATATATAATAATAATAATAATAATAATAATAATAAATATATTCACTATCTTGTTGTAGTACAGAGACGCATGTTTAAAGTGGGTACTGTATAAATATACCCAGAGTACTGCTTGCGTGTATCTAAACTGGGGACTACAAACCTTCTGGT